TTCACTCATAGCCGAAATATGCTGTGACTGACTCCATAACCTGCCCATGAACAGTAAACAGCTCTGAGGACATATGTTGACATCCGAAGTATTTATATTCTGTATCTTTTTTTAATAAAATAATTATTTTATGCATGATGCTATATGTACTGTATGATGCTTTGCATAAAATTAAACGATATACAGCATTGTAATGATTTTATAGATAAAATAAAATGTACACAAACCTGTATTTTACCGAAGAAATTAATCAATTCGATGGCGCTTAGAACTGCTCTCACCTGAAGAGGACACAAAAACCACAGTTTTAGGGTGTAACGGGGCTGACGAGACGTGAGACGTGTGGATCCATCTGCAGGCTTTATTAAAGAGACGTGGTAAACAGGCAGGGTCAAACAATGGCAAACAGGTATATGGCGGGCAAAACACAAGAATAGTCCCAGGGCTAGCGTAGGTCACCGATCGGCAGACAGAATCACAGGGGCGAGACGAGAGGGAAAAATCCACAAAAACAGGCAAAGATCAGAAACCGCGAAAACGGGCAAGGCAAGGCAAAAACAAGGAAAACTCAGAGACTCGGAATGGGGTACGGGCAAAACACAAGAATAGTCCCAGGGCTAGCGTAGGTCACCGATCGGCAGACAGAATCACAGGGGCGAGACGAGAGGGAAAAATCCAGAAAAACAGGCAAAGATCAGAAACCGCGAAAACAGGCAAGGCAAGGCAAAAACAAGGAAAACTCAGAGACTCGGAATGGGGTACGGGCTAAACAATACTCAGCAGAGAAAGGTGGTTAGAGTGGGTGTTATATAGTGAGTGAGGTGATTAGAAACAGCTGTGTGCAATGAGTGCAATCAGTGCAGTGTGCAAATCGTGCAAAGAATGATGGGATATGTAGTCCGGGGTGCTATGCAACAGTTTGTGTTGTGCGAGAGTCAATGTAATGGAAAGGGTGACCTCTGGTGGTGAATAAACGGAAGTCCATGGACCGAATTCGTGACATAGGGTATGAACTGTGCTAGCAATTCTGTCATTGTAAAATTAAATATTTATTTCAGAAATAGTATTCCTCTCAAGTGAGCTGCCACTTTGAACTGTCCTTGTATGGGAAAAGAGCTAACAGCTTAACTCTTATTGTGTTTTCTGAAAATATTCTTGACTCTTTTTTTCTGTCATAGACTTATGTTTAGTTATTCTTTTCTTAGTCCTTCCAACTGATATTTTTTTTTGTGTGTTTCATAATAAAAACCATTATTCAGCATCAAAAAATAGAGTTTATGCTTATGTTGGGCACTGTTCTGGATGTACATCAGTAGATAAGATATAACTGTCTACTAGAGGGAGGCATGGACATGTCCAACTTATTTGTCACTGTGTTTTGGGGGTTGTAAGGTCAGCCTATTGTCATTTTCTTTCTATTTCTCCATTCTCGTTAAATCTTTCTAACTGCTTCTTCCTACCTCTTTCTGTTTTAGTTCAAATTTTTAAACCTCCTCCTTCTTTCCACCATCCATTAATATCCAGTCAAAGAGGATTTGCTAATTTTGGATTTTTGTACTTTTTAGTCTGAGGCTGAGCTCCATGTTACAGAAAATCTAGTCTTGCATAGCCATACCATAAGACTGATGGCATAAGGTCTGGAATCCATAGCAGCTTTCACTGGCCCAGGACCACCCACAGGCCACCTGACTGACTTGTAAAGCAATCAATTACAGTTTGTTTCGTTCTGCATCATTTTTAGGGACGTGAAGATGTAAAGTTGATGTCCTTGTTTTTGCATTTAAATGATGATTGATCTGTGCATATTTCTCTCATGATTCAGACGAGATGACTTATTCATTTACATTACATTTACATTTAAGTCAAGTCAAGTCAAGTCACCTTTATTTATATAGCGCTTTTAACAATACAGATTGTGTCAAAGCAACTGAACAGCATTAATTAGGAAAATAGTGTGTCAATAATGCAAAATGACAATAGTAAACACTCATTTTTCAGTTAAAGACAGTTCATCATTGAATTCAGTGATGTCAACATCCAGCTCAGTTTAAATAGTATCTTTGCAAATACATATATACACACACACACACACACACACATATACACACACATATATATACACACACACATATACACGCACACACACACACACACACACAAAGAAAAACAAGTAGAATGAATAGAAAAAATAGAAAGCTAGTGTTTGTTTGTTTTTTGTTTTGTTTTGTTTTTTAAATAAAAAAATAAAAAAATAAGATAAATGTAGATAAAGTAGAATTTAAATAGAATAGAAAGTGTTAGAGTTAGAGGGTCAGATAAAGGTGGAACAGATGTGTTTTTTGTCGTTTCTTGAAGATGGGTAAGGACTCAGCTGCTCGGATTGATTTGGGCAGGTCATTATTCACCGAGGAAAGCAATATTATGGATAGAAGACTTGTTTGAAGTAAAAACACCTTGATGGATTTTCACTTCACAAAACATTAATTGATGGACTGGAGTGGCGTAGATTACTTGTGGATTATCGTGATGTTTTTATCAGCTCTTTGGACTCTTATTCTGACGGCACATATTCAGTGCAGAGGATTTGGTGGTGGGCCACTGATGTAATGCCACATTTCTCCAAATCTGTTCCAATGAAGCAGTCTACATCTTGGATGACCCCGAGATTGAATACAGTGAACAATTCCTCCCACTGATGGGATTTATTTTTAATTTTTTGGGAATATCTTTTTGGTTTGAGCACATACATACATCACATTGCATCACCTTCCTGCTCGCCCCAAAAGCATGATGATATGATGATGATTATTACTGAGACTTAAGGACAGAGCTCAGTATTAAGTAAGTTTACTATTTCATCCATTTCATAGTCATATTCTCTGGGGTCATTCTGTGTCACTCAACTAAAGGTCTCCGGCTCAGATATTTGATTTTGTTTATATTTTTCTGAAGAAAGATAAACATATATAGCGATAAAAGCCAAAATATTGGATCATGGATGTATATTTACTGAGTTGTATCCAACTATTTTGTAGAGGGGGGTCAAATGATAATTTCCACAGATTCAGAGCCAAATTACAGGGGGGTAAAAATGACTTTATAAAGATGGTAGCATCATTAAGTTGTTTTCACACAGAGATCAGTAGGTCTGTTAGTAAAATCTGTTGACTTCAGCAATCTTTGTTGCATTATATTTCAATGGTGACAGTTCAAAAATGGGGGAAAACACTTTTCAACTTTTTTTTTTCTCCAAAGTTTGCAGGCCTGTAACTCAAGAAATATTACAGATATCTTAATGCTTTTTAGATTTTGGGTTTTAACAAACTTTTCTTTTAGTATCTTAATTTTTAAGGCTCTATCTGGCCACATTTCAGTGATATTGGGATCTCAATGGCTCCAGGAGTAAATTGTTAAATTGTACACATTTTTTTCAGTGGTCAAAACCCAAATGTGGGTCACTTTGCATACAGCTGATTAATTTTTTTTCTTTTCAAGAGGAATGTTTGAAGAACAAATTATGTTTGTTCTAGAATGTATCTTGTTTCCCTCTATCAAAAAATTCCATAGCTCATACCCGTCTCATTGTCATATATATTATTTTTCCAAATTTTGCGTGCCTGTAACTCAAGAAAGATATCTCAATTTGATTTTACATTCTGGTTCTGAATTCTGATTGATTTGACACAGAATGACCCTCTATTGTTTTTACTCACACTAACACATATACTGATGGCAGAATGACATAAATGACTCATTACATCATCTTTACGGGAACACTTTGTTTTTTTGTAAAAAAAAAAAAAAAGATACACATTCTAAGTGATACATCAGGTAAATATGTGGGGGGAGTTTTGTCTTCTCGTTCAGAGCAACTTACAAAATGAAAAAGTCAACACAGTATTGTTTTATTATTTAAATGCCATTATGACTCAGAATTGCTGAAAGAGTCTGCACCTAAAGATATAGACGTATTTGTTTTTGTATAGATGAGGTCTGTTGTAGGGGCTACATGATCAAATCAGAGGGGATCCTCTATTTTGATGTGCCAGACTGCTAGCAAAGTTGTCGTTGTAAAATGAAAAAAAAAAAAAGTTAAAGTATAGTTAACAGAAATTTTGTTAGTAGTTATTCACCCTCGTGTTGTTCCCTTTTCTGTGGAACACAAAAGGAGAATTTTGAGGAATCCTCGTGCACCATAGACTACCTTAAAACTAATCCATACACCTTACAATAGCTTTGTAAGCATTAAATACCATATTAAATAAAATATTTTTTTTCTTTGAAATGTAAAAAGTATTATACATTTACTGTAAATATATATTGTTTGTGGGTGGATGGATGTCAGTGTTTATGAATGCTTTGCCACTGACAAAGTAAAAAAAAAAACTATTTGAAGTAAACGGTTGTTGTACACTATAGTCCACACTAAGTGCCTCTTCCCTGCAGGCAGTTTCCTCTTCTTTTGTAAATATTACCTTACACAAGGAAGTACAGTAGGATCAGGCTATGGGAGTGTAAACGTGCACCGTTATTCATGTGTAACCTCATTTTCTTATCTCCTCAAAGTATTAATTATGTATATTAAGGTCACTTTCACTTGCTGTGAAATAGGTTTTGTGCACTGCACATTTGAAAAAACAATGAAACCTTGCGGTGATTCAGACAGGAAAGATGCCTTAAATAGGTGTATATTATAAGATCAGTTCACTAACCTAAATAAAGAGGAAGTTTCCTGTCAAAAGGTCAATTTGGTGCACCAGCTTTCAGACACATTTGAGTCTTTGGTTTGCCATTCAGACTCAAAAAGGAAATCTCACAGTGAGCCATCAGTTTGGAATTATTTGCTCAATTGTTTTACTACGTTTTGCCATCTTTGTGATTACACTTTTATGTCCTTCCCCTACAACTCTATACTTCTCCCTTTCCAACCAACCCTAACACTGGTTTAGTGACATCAAATGTAACTTCCCCTTCCTACCACATCATCAGGTCGACTGGCTTTCAAAAGGCAGTGTTTCAGAGTCTGGACTCACACATACTCATAATCGGCACTGAAATCATCATGGCAGCAGAGGTATGCAAATCTATAACAGATCAATGTCTATGTTAGTTGATAAATGTATCCAGTAGAAAACATTTCATGTGTGACATTTTATAGGGGAATCTTGTTTGTGGCGGTGTTATGTTGCTCCACACTGAACGTGAAGGCAAACACTCATATGAAGTGAATGGCTTTTTAAACTATAACAAAGGAATATTCGCAAGGTGAGATAATCTATCTATCTGTCTATCTGTCTATCTATCTATCTATCTATCTATCTATCTATCATCAATCTATCTACTGTATCTATCTATCTATCTATCTATCTATCTATCGATCTATCTATCTATCTATCTATCTATCTAAACTGTCTGGCTGTCTGTTCATTCATCTATATCTTCTTTTTTCAGCAAGGGAGATAAACTTATAATGATAAACAACACAGATATGGAGGATCTGACTCCGCGGGCATTTGCAGAGCTCCTGGTAGCAGGATCCCCCTTACTTGTGAGTTTTATATTTATAATACACACTCATATGCACTTACCTCCTTATCTGTTACCCATTGAAACATGAGAGAGAAGCGAAACTGACGTTTTCACAGGGCTTTTTTTTTTTGACTTGTCAGCAAACTTTGATTGGTCACATGGACTTGTGTGTGGGTTTTTCAAACATTAAATTCCAGAGATTGCATAATTATGGGGTTTTTTTTAACTGCTTGAGGAATAAAACACCTGTCTGAGCTAACTTTATTTACATCAACTGTGCTGAGGTCAGTAATCTCCTCTCTTAGACCATACACCATTCGCCCAAAAGAAAAAACGAAGAGTGTGAATCTGAGGAAATCAGTGTCCATAAAAAGGAGCAGACAGTCATGAGATTCAGCCTGATGATGGTAAGAGAGGAAGATCTGGAAGCCACTGGAGTTGAACCATTGCCAGAGTGGGAAAGCAAAGACATTGAGGATGACTCTTTCAGTGATGACAAACTTCTACTTGTCTCCATGGCTGGCACAAGCTTCAGTATGGTCGTTGCTCGGGGTTGTGACCCTGACAGCCCTTGCAACAGCTGTGGAGGGATAAATTGCCAATTTAACGAAGTTGTTGTCCTGCCTGCGACAGCTGAGGTTACCTTTAGTAAGAAATTAATGTTGCTTTCATTGCCATTTTCATATTTATGTGCAATCAGTTTTTAATCTACTAATATTTTGTTTTTTCAAGTTCTTAACTGTTAGAATTGATGTTCATAAAACTTAATACCACAGTAACACTACAATAATGTTCCTGCAGACTTTAAGGGAAACCCATGCAAAATTAAATGAGATTTTTTTTTTAGAGTTTAAAGTGATATTCTTCCCCTATTTTGCCAGATTCTTCAAGGATTTTGAAACAGGTTTATGAGCTAAATAATGTGTTCTTGAAGAGTTTCGTCATGGAAAAGTATGTCACCCCAGAAAATCGGCAGATGTTTTTGAGGGATACCATGTCAGGTAATAAATATAAAATATAATAATAATATTGTTACAAACTGCTCGGAGACTACAGGTTGAAGATCCAAATGCATTATTTATTAAGGGGTAATCCAAAGCCATAGTCCAATAAACAGGCAAGAGGTCATAAACACGGGGTAAACAATCCAACACAGAACACCAGGCAGGAAACTCAGGCAAAGACCACGGAACAGATAAACAATAGCATGCTCAGAAATGCAGTAATAACACATACAAGACTTCACAAGGACACAGGGAAATAGACAGGGTATAAATAGGGAGAGACAAACAGGATAACAAGGTAACAAGGGGGAGGAGCTATTTAAACACCATGGGAACTAACACGGGGAACCATGACAACAAACAAAGCAGAGGGGCAAACAGCAGATGAGACTGGGCAAAGAATTGTGGGAAATGGAGTCCAGGATTGAGTGGGGAAGAGTGCCATCTGATGGATGTCCAGGGCACTCCAGCTGGTGATCGTGACAAATACACAGTAAAGTTTATATAAATGTACTGTATATATTCATTCATTATATTAGAATGTAATTTTGTAAATACTTTTTTGCAATCAAATTAAAAATTTTAGAAGTGTATTTTGAAGTAAAATATATAAACAAATATTAATTTGTAACTGAAATTATTTTTTTTGGCTTACAACAATATGATTCTTTGTTTTGATTTGATCCAAGTATATTCTGAAATACATTTTGCAATACTTTTTGTTTTAGCAAAAATCACCCTCTACTATTACACTGCCACCATGGGCCATGTAGGTGTTCCTGTTGTACTGAACTTCACCGGCACAGAAAACTTCTTCTGCTGTACCACCAAGCAAGGTGAAGATAAGAAGATTTTAACACTCGTGGTAAGTTTTTTTTTTTTTTTGAAGGTGTATTATTAGGATGTGTTTTTATTAGGTTTTTATGCATCTTGGCACCATTTTAATGTTTTATTATAAGTGTGACTTATGCACTGTATTCCTATGGGGAACTTATGGATGAACTGTTCCTTTAAGCTGAAACTAGACTTTTGTTTTGTTTTGTTTGCAGAGCCATAATAAAATGGACTTGAAAAGCATCTGTCCTGATGACCAAGAAAAATGGTCTCTTGTATTCTACATGTCTTCTGGGCAAGACAATCTTCGGCGTTTTGAGTCAGCTCGTTATAGAGGATGGTTTATTTACACACAAAGCGTAGATAGTAGAGTAGTGGACATGGATAGGGGAGATCAGTTTGACAGTAAACAAGACAGTGCCTTCTCACTTATAATTCTGAGTGAGAAAGGTTCATGGAATTCAAGGTCTTGATATTATCGTTGGGAAGCCGGGAGTTGTTCTCAGATTAACTTACATTTCAATATACGTTTTGGATGAGTGTAAGGTTAAGGTTGTCTTAGCGGATGCAGCCTCTTCTAAAGAATGGTGTGTTTTACTGCCATCGCAGTAGTGAGTAGATATGTATCATACTATTAGATTAAAAAAAATTTATGAGTGTCATCTTTTTTACATTCAGCTAATTTTAAACTGATGTTTTTAAATCAACACATGTAATTCATATTTATTTTTATTTCTAACTGTTCATAGTTACTTTTTGTGCTGAAACATTATGTTTTTTTTAGTATTGAAAAGAAATCCTTGCAAAATGTAATTCGTGTAATTCCTGTATTTATATTATCAACTGTTATTTAGGCTACATTTGCTTGTATAAGCTGAAAGCTACTAACAACTTTGAACTGTTGCTTTTGCTGCATAAATGTATCATTTACCATATTAATGTGTGTTTGTGTATTATTCTACACTCTCAGAAAAAAGGTACAAAATCTGTCACTGGGGCGGTACCTTTTCAAAAGGCATACCTTTGTACCTAAAGAGTCCATATTGGTACCTTAAAGGTAATACAGATAAGTACCTAAAGTGTACATATTAGTACCTAAAAGGTACAAAAGTGTAACTTTTGAAAAGGTACCGCCCCAGTGACAGTACCTTTTGTACCTTTTTTTTCTGAGAGTGTATAAAATCACAATAAAAAATTGTGAATCAAGTTCAGTAAGTGTTTCAGATTCATCCAACAACACAGTTCCAGTGGTACTGTAGTTATGCTTATACATCATAAAATGATGTTTCTTACAGTATGATGTCACTTATTAACATAGATGCTTTTATCCAAAGTTGCTAAATTATATTGGCAATGTTTTGAAGAGCTGCTTGTAATTGCACATATTTATTTTTCTTTGGATATGAAATTCATTAGTAACTGCAATGTGTAACAAAGACCTACAATTTGATTTCATATATTTTATAATAAAATAAATATAAATCTTTTTTTACACTTCCTGAAAGAATGTCATTGAACACATGTTAATTCAATTATGTGTACTTTATATTGATTCTAATTCAATTTAGTGTGTAAACATATTTATGATTACAAATTTTAGGTGTGATTAATCGCGATTAATCTCAAAAACCTGTGCGATTACTTCATTACATTAAAAACTCAACTCACAGCTCTATTTTTAAATTTAATTTTACTTTATTAAATTAATTGTACTAATTCTAAGGAAAATGTTTAATTTAGTTGTTTTGTATTAAAAATTTAGATTAAATCATGAATGAAATTTTATTGTATTTTAGGTCATAACTGTCAATGACCTATGATGCAATTCCAATGTAAAAGGTGCTATGAGCAAGAATTGCATCATCTTTGGTTATAAGCCAACTAGTTATAACTGGTTATAAGCCAATACTTTTTATTTTTACCGCAACACAATGATTCATTTCTTATGTGCTTCCCCTTCAATAATAACTTCTTTGAACGCCCCAGTGGTAGGAATACCCCCACGTATACAAATATAAAACCCAAACTGTGACCTTTTCCACCTCCATTAACCACTTCTCAGGTTGGCATAACGTTCACACTTTAACAAAACAGATTATGTTTTATTACCTCATTCCTTTTAGGCTTAATGAGTGAAAGTTTGAAATTACTGCTGAATTTGTTTTGGTATTGATGCAAAGAGCCAATTTTGTCCAACCCTTCGAATTTTTGTACTTGTGTGCTTTCCCCGACAACATACCTTCAATTTTCCCACCAAAACCTTACGCTGTGGTATACCGTGTCTCACAACTTCCTCTTCCTGCTACAAGAAGGCTACAGAGATTAAAAAAAGCACCATTCAGAGGCAAGGCTTGCACATCTTTTTGATAAGCATTGAGATCAACATGGCAGCAGAGGTAAGCATTTTCGTAGCACTCTGTTATTTTGTAGTTGATGTAAACATACTTAAATATATAGCAATTGATCAATGTCTATATTAGTGAATTAGTCCCTAATTTTTCAGTATAAGGGAGATGCAAAAATAGAGACATTTTCTGATCTTCTAGTTCACTTTAACTTAATGCGCTCTTTCACTTCTCTTGTTCATTAAACCTGTTTAAATGTTACAAGAAAGAGAAATGAAACTGAAATGTTTAGTGCGCCCTTTCTGCCTAGTCAGGAAACTTAATGATCATGTGGCCACGTGTTCTGGTTGGTATTTGAAACAAATATGTTCTTTAACTGCACTAAAGCAAATAGTCTCCTCTCGTAGAATGTACATCATCCGAGCACTGAAAAAACAGAAGAGTGTGAATCTGAGGACACCCGATGCAATAAAAAGTAGAAATTCATAAGATTCAGCCTGTCGATTGAAGATACTGAGATGGTTGGGCTTCAGAAGCCATCACATCCACAACCAGAGTGGGAAGAGAAGGACATTGAGGATGACTGTTTCGCTGATGACAATCTGCTTCATTCCCTGGCTAACATGAGCTTGAATCTGTTTGTTGATCAAGTCTCTGATGCTGACAACCCTTTCTGCAACTGTGATTGGCAGTTAAAAGAAAGTGTGATCATGTCTGAGAAAGCTGATATTTCCTATAGTAAGTTTTAAATTTATTTAAAACTTTTTTATATCAAAATTATTTATCCATCTCCATTTTTATTCATTTGGAATGATCTAATGTTGAAATTTCCATTCCTTTCTGGTTGTAATATCCTGCTGCCTTTTTCAGTATCTGCACAAATTTGGAAAGTGATTAAAGAACAAAACAGTTTATTTCTGAAGACACTCAAAGGATGCAAGTATGTTGCATCAAGACAAAATGAGATATGTTTGGAGAGTACGATGTCAGGTTTGTATCAAATAATGAAAATTATGTTTTTAGGAAACATTGTATTTTTATTATTTCCTTGTGGCAGTGCTATTCGTTTACTGTTATTTTAAAATGACATTTTCCACAAATTTCGTTTTTTTTTTTTTCAGCAAAACTGACCATCTTTCATGGCACCTTCCGTGGCATGGTCACCAATGACAGTGAATCAGGTGTTCCCATTGTGCTGAACTTCACAGGCACAGATAACTTCCTCTCCTGCACCACCCGAGGAGAGGAAAAGATTTTAACAGTTAAAGTAAGTTTTCAATAATCTCTGTTTCTTGATTTTGCATTTGTGTTTTGTTAGGGTTGTACAGCAGTGCATTGCTCTACAAGTTACGAAAATGTAAGTATATTGTGCTCAAATACAGCAGGGTCTTCCTGTTCAACTTCAACAAACCAACTTTTATCATGTTTATTTCAGATGTATGACAGAAAAAAGATACACATTTCTGCAGATGACCCAGAAAAATCATCCCTCATTTTCTACATGTCTCAAAAGCGGGATGGTCTCCGGTATTTTGAGTCAGCGCTCCACAGAGGATGGTTCATTCACACTATAAATGATAACGATGTGAAAATGCAAAGAGGCAATAATGCATCCAGCAGTTGCTTTGTCTTTGAGTGAGAGTAAGACCACAAAATCTGCTTATTATATTTTATTCAGAATGTGTCAACATCATTTCCTTTTACAATTTTAGGTTGTTGTACCATAGCATTGGGTATTTTTTCATAGTATAAAAAATACATCAATATATTTATATAATATTAAACTTTATTTACATTTGTCTGTATAAGCTACTAGAAATTGCAATAATTATATTAGTTAGAGTAACTTTATAATTCATCTTATTATAATTTTAACATAATGCACTTAAATAAACATTTGCAAACATACCAGAAATTGGATTTGTCTTCTATTGGAAAAAAAGTTTTCAAAAATGTGAAAATATTGTTTCAAAAAAGCATGCAGTGGTGTAGACACTTTTTTCATCGCTCTCCTTTCTGATATTATTTGTGGAAACACCTATTTCTTTACAGTCCTGTTTGTTCAATGTCTTCCTCGAAGGCTTTGTTAACTTCTCCATCATCTGAATTCTCATATGGGTTCACAGTCTCATCAGCCTTTTTAGCTTTCCTGTAAAAAAAAAAAAAACGTTTTGCAAATGTAAGAAATTCAATACCACACTTGTGGTCAAACCTTGTGTGGATTTAATTCATGTTTTTTTTAATCAAAATTTTTAAGCCAATATTTTACTATTTCTTTTGAAATTAATTATTATAATGTGTATCTTGGATGCACTTTGTGTCTTTTTTAAATATTGTCCACGTAGCTATGATGATGCAGTTCTACCAAACATGTCAGTGTTTAATATGGACAAGAATGGCATAATCTTCACTGTCACTAAACTGACTCTAGCTGCTTTCAATCATTCATGAGGTGTTTCCCCTGCAGTACTTACTTCTTCCTGTTTAATATCCCTGTTGTAATGAGGTAGATCCCCCCAAACACAGTTACACCCATTACCACTCCAAATACCACCAGCCAAACTGTAAATTTTTCCTCTTTGGGCGGAGCTAATGTTGCCTGCAGCCCAACAAATTCCAATGTTTCATCATTGAGTAAAAATGCACCGTTGATGCGTTCTCTGGACAGCCTGTGAAGAGATAATAAGGGAAATTTAATAATAAGGTCACTGGAACAACTGCTTAAGTTCCTCTTAATTATGTCATGGCACCCAATATTCATGCAATCTATAATTATTTTAAAAATATTTTATATTAATATATATATAT